TATATATATATATACATATATGTATATATATATACATATATGTATATATATACATATATGTATATATATATACATATATATATATATGTATATATATACATATATGTATATATCTCATGCCTATCCCGCACTCGTTCACTAGGGTGCACATTTGCCATACCTTCGACATCACCTGCTACCGCGGGAGCTCCAGCAACGCCTCCCAGTTGCCATCGTGAATGCTCTCATGCCATTCCCACATGCGTCCACTAGGGTGTGCATATGCCAAATATTTGCAATCACCTTCTGCCCATATCAGTATGAGTCCAGCCACAAGCCTTACAAGTTTGGCTAAAATCTGACCTTCCAGACAAGAGTTATTGTCACTTCCTGTTTTGTCGCAAATGTAAAGTATTTCCTTTAGGCTTTTCAACACGTCAATGTGGTAATCAACAGTTATCGAATACGGTTCCACTCTTATACACTTTGCCAAGGTGGAAGAGTCACCCAATAATCATAATTTTCTTCTCTGAGTGGGCTGGGCTTAAGTAAAGTCATGAATCAACAGTACCAATGTGTCTACAAATGCTCACTGATGAAAAACCAAAAATCTGGTCTAGATCAGATGATGTATCACTGAGATATAACTCTTGTAATAATGTAGGGGCACACTGGAGTGAAATGTTAAACAACAAAACCAATGAACAAAGTCCATGCTCAATAATCCAGGTATACAATCCAACATTTTTCAGTCAGGTCATCTGGACAGTTTCTTTTTTTTTGTGCTGAAACATTTCGCCTTCAGTCCGGAAGGCTTAAGGTTTGATGTCTCAGACAGTTTTCTTGTAGGAGCTATTAGTGTTTCGTTTTTCATGGCGAGATGTCAAACTTTGAGGTTCGAACCCTTCAGCATGCTCCGAAATGCACTGTTTAGATAACTTTTCCTCCCCCATGCCTTTTGACCAAAATGGCCAAGTTTGAAACCGATTGAACGAAATCCCTAGGAGGAGTTCGTTCTAATGCGGAGGCTGTGAACTGCCAAAAAGGGGTGAAATTTGGGATGTTATTCCAAAATGGCCGCCTTCCTGTTTATCGTACAACATTGGTGCCAGAGGGTTTTCTGTGTATCTTGGGGAATTCGACAAGTGTACCAAATTTCATGTTTCTATGACAAACTAAGGTTAAGGCGGAGGGTATTTTGAAAATTTCCAGGTGGCACTCTTGATCCGCTTCTGTTGCGATTTTTTTTCGGCGTCCTTAAAATACACAATTTTTCAGCAGTCCTGATGCTTCCGCCAAATTTGGTGAGTTTTGGGATGTGTCATGGTCCCCAAAAGGCCCAATTTCTTTTCCCAAAAAATTGCACCTCGGGCCTGAACAAAGCAATTACAATAGGCCTTCACAGCGCTTCGCTGCTCGGGTCTAACTATTGACCTGTAGCTCTGGTCAGTACTTTATCAAAGGTCTTGCAGAGGGCTATGTTAAATAGAACTGATAAGTTTATTGTGACATCTGAGTATCAGTTCTGCTTCAAACCTAACCTTGGCACTGATGTGCATTTTTGCTCTCAAAGCGTATTGTACTTCCATGTATACTTCCCACCTGTGGTGGCATTACAGAAAAAGCAGTATGCATAAACTTCAGGTGGCGTACAATGATGGCATGAGGATGCTGCTTAAGGTGCCACGAGGGAGTAGTGCCAGTCGGACTGGTAACTGGTGAAGTGAAGACAGCAGAACCTTATGCTTTTAATATACCCAAATTTGTGTAAACGTTCTGCAAGGGAATACAGTAATCTGCATAGCTTACTTGAGCAAGAGAGGCGTCTTCAGCGCTCTGTCTTGTTGGAGGACTGTGCTGCAATATTATGGTGTCATCAGAGTCCACTTCAGTTTCTCTACTGGAACTGGTAAAGGAGCTGCTTGCTGGACAACTCAGCTGATGCACAAAATCATCTAAAACATTAAGTTGGTGTAATTAGCAGTAAGAAACAATCAGAAGAAGTATCACAGTAATCAAAATAGCCCCATAACACTATGATTATTTTAAATAGAATAAACTAACAATTCAGCCAATTTATCAGCTCGTTTCACACACAGTATGATACAAAACATATCGTCAAACTCAGGCACATTTGATTGTGTTTTTTGAACAGTAACAGCCTATGTTCAGTGTGTAAAATGCTAGACAGGCAAAAGTCTTTATGAGCACGTCCCAGGTTGGTGATGTCCGGTGAACAGGCATCAACCTAACTGTGCTGATCTGGACTGCAGTTCTGTTTGCACAGTCAGACTCATTAAACTCATAAAGATGGTCAAAATATCTTGTGCAAAAATAAACAAATGATGCTTCAGAACAACTTGCCTTCTCGATTTGGATCTTATGCTAGACAAACTTCCAGCACACCAAGGTTCGGTTTTTCAAAAAGAGATCAAAAACCTCCTCATCAACTTGAGTCTTTCAGACGTCAAAGACTTTTAAGTCCAAGGTTGGGATGTTGAACTTTTTGGCAACTGTGAACATAAAAAAATTACACTACATGTTTGAAACAAGGCATAGAAAGTGAAATTCAATTCAGTTTATTTAATTTATATAGTGACAAATCACAACAAAGTTGTCTCAGGGACTTTACAGGAACATTCACATAAAATTAGTAAAGTTCTCTATCTGAGGAATCCAGCAGACAAGTAGAATCTTGGCTTCGTTGCAGTCTCCCATCCTGAGCAAGCACAGTGGAGACAGTGGAAAGAAAAACTCCCTTTAACAGGAAGAAACCTCCAGCAGAACCAGCTCAGGACAAGAGACCATCTGCTTTGACCGGCTGGTTGAGAGGACAGGAAGGAGAGACAGACGAACACAGAATGGTAGGTCCAGGTATAGGTCCAGGTCCAGATATAGGTCCAGATATAGGTCCAGGTCCAGA